TGGCACTTATAATCTCTAAAAACAGCTGACATTTGGGATCTAGTCCAGCGTAAAAACAGCAAGAAGCACAAACTGAACAACGACCAAAGCGGTTCGTCTTCCATTGGATCAGAACCCGTGAAACACGTCCAGGGGTTGCCAAAAGTTGGATAATCTTTATATGTGATAACTGCGAAATAATCGAGATTCGATGAAATGAGCATCCGACAGTGCGATAGAATGTGACAGACAAGCCATCGGCTAAGATCGTTAGGAAATGCCGCAGAACCTGATTGTGACATTGTGACACAGCAAATACACCTCGCAAGTAAACAAGCATGCAGCAAGCGCATGAAACCATACTCGATTCCATCCCCAGTAGAAATATGTCGTCCTGGGTATGAAGACAATATTGTTCTGATGACAATTTGCCCGATCGACCAAATTATCTGCATTGTGCATAAATAAAATGTGTTGTACTGTTCTCAAGATGAAAAGCATATATTTAGAAAGAAAGGACGGCATACCCTCACTAATATAGTTATTTCACAACTATCATAATCCCATGAGAATATCCTGCATCTTACAGCGCTACTTTATCATATGGTTTTGGAATTTGTTTAACAGCTTCCTAAATTGTTTCCAACTTACCCCGTCATCGGCGTTGATAAACTGGCCATTTTCTCACTTTCTAAGTTCAGGTTGGCCATATGACGGTTAAGATCAGACGTATTCTTCATAGAATCTGAACCTGGCGAAACTCGAATGCGGTACCCCTGTTTTAGAAAAAATTATTAATCATAAAATTCTTCTGAACACGTGACGGCGGCTGATCAAAGCGTACCTTATATTCGATAAGCAGCTGCGTTAGCACAACCACCAAGTCATTCAGCTGAACGTATTCGTCCGTCAGAGCTTCGACACTATTCTTGACCTTTTGAAGCAACGTCAAAATGGGGTCATCGGAATGGATCAGGGGCTTGGGCGAAATGCGCGGGATGATGTTAACGCCGATTTCAGTTGTCCTCCTTCGCGGAAGAGAATCAACGAGTTTTGGCATCTGCAGAAAAAATTTTAAAGTTGTTAACGCGAAAATGAGAGCAAGAATCTTGGCAATTTCTTGAAAAAGAGAACATCAAGCTAATTTGAGTGACAAAGTATTAATTGACAAAAATAAGGAAGGTGGTTAACATGACAGATGGAATTTAAGCTAGTTGTTCAGGTAGCTTACTTCTTAACAGAGGTCGACAGATAATGATTATGATAGCCATGAGGGTGATAATTATAGCAACAGTGCTGAAGTAGAGTTACATGACCAGAAGGAATGGGAATGCGAAGACGATGACGACGATGGTAATAATAATAAAGATAAAGAAGTTGATTATGATAAAGAGAATGACGATGACAACGCAAATGAAGATATCGATTATGAACCTTAATGATTTCAACATAAATTTGTTCAGGATATGGATTCTCTGACAAAAACATGCTGGAAAGAACTGAAAGCCATCCACTATAACTAAATGCCAACATGGCCACGAAGAAGAGCAGACTATTTCATAAAGCTGTACACTAAAGACATGGCAGTTATTCATTGTCAGAGAATGGCGCCAATGCGAATAGTACCTGCGAGCCGTTTACTGTAGTACCGACTTCGTTCATGTTCGGGTACCAGGTTACCGGTCGGACCTTCTTCTTTCCGGTATCGTTCAGGTTCGTGAGTGACCTGGAGCTGGCGCCGACGACCGGCAACTGCATGATGCAGTTCAGATCCAAGGCACTGTAGTTAAAAAAGCAGAAATCAGTTTTGTAAACACCGTACTCATTACAAAACACTGCACGTACTCCCAGCTGATCATCATACTAAGTTTGAGCGTGCCGGAGCGGTTCAGATCCATGTTCATCAGCTGGGCATCGGGCTTGAGCAGTTCCATCGGATCGATGGTGTTTTCGAACAGGTGCAAGCATTTGCCGAAACCCTTGACTTCGTAAACCTACAAAACTGAACGTTGAAAAACTAGCACATATCAAACAATCAGTTTGCA